TTAGGCTGGCCGACGGAGCCGCCCAGTGCCGACCCAATCACAGCGCAGCGTGCGGGGCCCCGAGTTGACGCCTCTCTCCCTATGAGTCTCTCTAAATCTACCGCACCGCGCCTATTTGGAAAAGTAAACAAACTGTTAAATCGGCGTCTTCTGCAACTCTTTACCGATAACTCCTACTCAAATTTGTCATAAGATTCTAATCAGAATTTTAGGGTGGACAGCGTCGGTTTTTGATTTTAATCGCAAGGATAGTAGTGCTTGATGGTTTCCGGAATATTAATTGTTCTGTTCCGTTCATTGTAGGAGGTTAGTTGTGCTCCAGTGGCTTTATTTATACACTTTTTATTAGTTGTAATATATTTTTGGAGACACAGTAGATGATGCCTGTTATTGAAACTTGGCTCACTGTAAGCTTTGTTGAAACGGTGTTGAACAACTTGCATATTTTAGATTGGACGTATAATGCAGTTTTGCTGGTTTTGCTATACCTGGGTAGGCTTTGATAGTCAACAAGTCAACTGAGGGCTTTAGCGCTATTTGTGTAATCCCCTGAACAATCAATCAATCAATGTGTGTTGCAGCTCATTTATTATTTATTTATTTTTATTTGTAATGTAGCTTTGACAGAGCTTTTACAAGTCGATATACATGATAGAATGTACTATTTGAATTTGGTAAAACCATTGTTAAAAGGCTCTTCTATTGAGTAGGGCTTTATTGCTAGTAAGCACCTCTTTAGCACAGCTTTCTATCTTTTTTCATTTTTCATATTCTTGATTTCCTGAGGGAGGTGGTTGAATAGTTCACTCCCAACATGGATTATCGAATTCACCATGGCATTTCAGAAGTCTTTTTTTCCCTCAGAAAGAAATACTGTGGGGAAACGAGTTACCATAGTATAAGTAAAATTATACGTTCTTAACAGTTGACAATTTTTGAGTAATAAATGAAAGCAAAAATAGCGCTAAAAGTACCATTTAATATGATTGCAGGAACACGGCCCGGAAATGTTCTTGACATGAGCAAAGAAGTCCATGGAGTCATTTTACCTGAAAGTATAGGTGAGTTGACAATAACCAATGCTGGTCCAATTTGTCTCTTTTCGGACTCTATGAGAAGCTCCCTTTGGTTTTGGTGTGCATCAAAGTTCAGTTTATAATGGTTTTTGTGGTGCCTTGGTTCTTCCCTGACGATTTTAATCATCTCCCGTCGAAATCCAGGCTGGAATTGGTTTGGATTGGTCGGGCAGACTCCCCTTTCACTTGCTCTGTGTAAATATCATGGAGCCAACCCACTACAGCAGAGTTCTTTTCCTGATACTTTAGCTTGTGCGCCTTAGGTAGACAACCCGCCCATACTTCGAAAGACCACCACTTAAAACTCAAATTTCTGTAGAGAGGGGTGTTTCTGACGAAACCAAAGGTAGTTTTGTGGTCCCCTGGTTCAACCCTGTCGATTCAACTACTTTTATGTCGAAATCCGGACCCATCAATTTTCGCTAAAAATACAATTTTGTAAATTTTGCCAAAAATGAATAATTGTAAAATCGCCGGAAATATTTGGGGTTGGTCAGACTGAATCCTCTTTCAATCTCTGCGGCGAAGTTTTACGGCGCCGGGCCATTTTAAGTGAGATACGCCTGTTTTTTGGACCGGTTCGCCTGCGAGGTAGGCAGCCCATCGAACGCTGACCGCCAGATTCAAAAGACCACCCTTAAAACGCAAGTTTCTCTGGACAGGGGTGGGTTCTGACAGAACCAAAGTTAGTTTTGTGGTCACCTGGGTCGCCTCTGTCGATTCGACCACTTTTCCGTCGAAATCCGGACCCATCAATTTTCGCTAAAAACACAAAGGCGTGTGCCTTTGGCCTTTGTAAATTTGGCCAAAAATGAAAAAAATAAAAATTGCTGGAAATGACTGCAATCGGTCTAGGAGAGTCGTCTTTGACCTCCTCTGTCGAAATTGCGTGCTTCCTGCCTCTTTTGCATCCTGTTTCTTCGACTTTAAAATTGCGTCTTTGGTTTGTTGCAGGAAGATCGGCCTGGAGCTGGAGGTGCACCTGTCCTGGACATAGCCGTGCGGCCCATGGAATCATCAGATATAAGTTGAGTTGGCGTCACAGTGATTACAGCTGGTCCAGTTATTTTATTATAGTGTACAGTCTCTTTGAGTAAGCTTGAATGATTTTCTCTCTGGCAGCAATCTTTGTTGGCCATCTAAAGTCACTTTTCACGACAGGGGTGTTTTAGATACTATGGTAGTTTTCAGATGCCATAATTTACCCCACTGTAAGTTGTCTAAAATTTGTACCAAAAAGATTGATAATCCTTTATAAAAAAAATTAAACAATGTGTGTAGTGCTCCCAGCATTACTTTGGTCTTCGGGCCCCGGGCCCGGGCCCCCCCGAAGACCAAAGTAATGCTGGGACGACTATATTTTCCCGAGGGCTGGGGGTGGTGGTGGGGATGTGGACAACACCCACATTGTGGAAGGGTCTAGCGGAGCCGTTCCGCTCAAGCTGTGGAGTCAGCAAAGCCCTGCCACGGGTCAAGTTGGCATCTTCGGTGAAACGCGTGCTCCTGGTGTCATATGGGGCGGGCCGGACGGCTAGGTGGTCCTTATAATCCGTCCGCGAGATTTGCTGTGACGCAATTTGCTGAGCATTGATCGCCCTCCTGCCCGGGATACGGCGAAGAAGCAGCGTCCTGGCTTATGTGTGACGAACCCTCCCTCCCCCTGCCCCCGCGCTACTCGCGGCTGCGGTTGCTGTGGAGGTAGTAGCGGCTGCCGCCGCTACCGTCGTGACGTCACGGGCGTCTTGGGCGCTGCTGCGGTGGCTGTGGGGTGGTAGTAGCGGCATCCTGCAGTAAGTCTACTACTGCCTCCACAGCTAACTAGAGCTGCATCCGAGACGCCCGTGACGTCACTGCTGTAGTGGTGGCAGTCTGCTACTACATCCACAGTTACTGCAGAGTAGGATCAGATCAATGAAATCATGTAAAATGTTGGATAGTATTTTAATTCTTTATTGTTTTTAACATTATAAACTTAAGCCTCCCTCAAAGTAGCCGGCTTTGTTTCTGCTGGTGACTTGGGGCAAATCTGAATACCTGAAAAAGAATGAAAAAATATAAGTACATTCAAATTATCTCAGAGTTCCACTCAAACGTGTTCTGGTCCATCTGTATCACTGTGACGCCAACTCATCGAATGAACTTTCTATGTTACAGGTGGCCAGCTTCCAGTCCAGGCACATCCCTTTGGACAAGAACCAGCATCACTTCCTATTTTACTACAACTGTACCAGACAAATGAAATAAATAACAGCATTACTGTAACTGACTCTCTGATGATTTGCCTCTCTCACTTCCCTCCACTAAAATCAACACACAACTACATATTTTAGGATCAAGTAATAAGCGGTGTATGTAGAGGTAGCATAGAGAAAGTAAAGAATGACAAGTAACCCCCTACTAGAAACAAATACCAAAATAAACTTTTACCCAACATGACTCTACCATAATGTATTGATATTTTTTTGTTAACATTACATAAGAAAGTCAAAACTTACCAGTTTCACTCCTGTGATCATGAGAAAAAGGGTCCATTTCTCATGCTGTGTGCTGTGACGCCGACTCAACATACATTGGGTAGCAGGGTGACAGCTGACGGCTGCGTAGCTGATGTCAAGCGCAGATGCAACTAATCGACGGTCTTCCTGCAGCAAGGGTAAAAACAAAATTTTGGTCTACATATATCATGGTTACAGCAACTCTTCTCTGGACTCTACAGTTTTAGGGAGCTGTATATCATTAACTTGCCATGCTTCAAAAGCATTGCCTAGGACAAACAATGTCAACTCATCGTCAAACGTTCACAGGTGGAAT